GTGTCACTTTGAAAGGAAGATGTGAGTGACAGATCGATTAAGTGACACTTGTCGGGTGGCTCTTAGATCTTACGTAACAACAACTTGAGCTTTGATCTTTTGCTTAATAACAACTTTGCTAAAGTGCGAAATTTAAAATAACTTTAACTTGACATAATGGTCCTAAGTGATCTACCCGCCAAAAATTATCTATAAAAGGCAGACAAGAATAGAAGTACCTCATAACCAAGTTGATCAGCCAGCGTTCACATCAGCCATCAGACTTTAGAAGCCTGTTCTAAATTTCTATTTGTAAAATTCAACTAAGTTACGACAAATTGAATTTGCCAACAATTTTCCAAAAACTATTATATAAAAATTCGATAACTTTTTCATCCATTCATCGCCAAACACTCTTTTTTAAATATCCGATTAATTTTCTAGCAAACAAATAAATATGAACAGCCACATGTGTTCAGCAAACAGTTGCCTTTTCGAGAATTGTTTTAAAGCCGAAAGAATTATTAAATACATCAAAACTGGCTCGATATCAGATTCACTCAGCCAAGCTGTCAACAATGATCAACTAGAACATGAGAAAGAAACGTGCAGCATTTGTTTAGAAACAATTGAAACAAACTTTGCATACCTGGACGCATGTTCGCACGGCTTCTGCAGGGCGTGCATCGACCAGTGGAGAGTGGAGAGGACAACATGCCCACTCTGCCGTTCCCCATCCCTCCTCACCATCTACACCACCATCAGGGCTACCAGGGAGGAAGTCAGTTATTTGGCAGAACAACACTTCCTATGCCCATTCATTCAGCCGCCTGAACGCCAAATAAAATACAGCCCTAGAGTCATCGAACACTATCTCAACATCATGAGGTGCAACGTACCTATTGATCAGATGTTTGCTCCAGATAAATTGTTGGATGCTGTGCAACAAATTTATGATTACGTCTTTACACAGAGAACTTAAGTCGTGTAGATAGTTTTTTGTAATTAATGTACTATATTTAAATAGTTTTTTTACATTCAAAATATTTCTGTATGTTTTTTTATCTAAATAATTTTTTCATGTATATTCTCTTTTGCATGTAAATAGTTTTTTGAATGTCCTGTAAACATTTTTTTCATTTTTCATATTGATATTTTAATTCATAATTTTTATTTTTTTTGTGTGAGAATAATATCAATAATACATCAAACAATCTTGTTACTGAGTTTTCCATAAAAAATAAAAACCTCAAAATAAGCACTTCATTTGAATATCATTTATTTATCAGTGACCTGAATAACTTGTCGAGGGAACGTTTCCGGGTGTGTGTGTGTATGTGTGTGTGTGTATGTGTGTGTGTGTGTGTGTGTGTGTGTGTGTGTGTGTGTGTGTGTGTGTGGTGCGTTGTTGCGTGTGTACATGTGACATGAGCTTGTTGTTGACATCTTTAAAAAATACCAAACGGATAATTAAATTGTTTGGTTAATTATACATAATATTTTTCAGGATTTGAAACTTATTTGAATTTTGCTTTGTTGAATTTTTTAATTATTATTAAACCATATTTTTCTGAAATCTCATTTAATTATTAATTCATTTTATGGGGCTAATTTTTTTCACTCTTACAACAACAGATTGAATTTCACATTACCCAACTCTGCCTACCGTTCTTATTCATCATTCTCTTTTTTTCCAATTTTTTCCACAGTATGTTTTTTACATTCTCAATTTTGTTAATCATTTTTTATTAGCAACATCATCGTCAGAGCGGCGTCATTAATCAGTCATGGCCTGTTTTCTTCCGCTATTTCTCTACCCAATCCACAACTGATGCACTTTTATGTTCGCTTGTCTCTCGACAGATTTAATTTGCTACAGCGATCATCATTTATATTACGCTACATTCTCCGTAGTTCTCTCAAAAATTTATTTAATTTTTTTCGTAAGTTTAACTTCATTATTTAAACTTTAGTAACTTCTACATGGGTGTCTTTGATGTAGAAGATAATTATTGTATGATATAAAATTACCGTGTAATTATTTTCAGGAACGTCCCATTAGAAAGTTATAGAATTCTTAGTACATAAGGCATATAAATAGTATATATGCATATATAGAATAATTTTTCACCTAATATCTATTTAAAAAAAACACCAGTTGAAAATTTTATTCAATGCAGAAAATTTTACAATGATAGAGAAGAGTTGCAAAGTCGGATCTAAATATTACGACTCTGACTTTTTTTAACCTGCCTACACCTTCTGTAATGATACAGTTGTATATCTTTTAATAATAATATAATAATAATATAAACATTTATGAAGCGCTCATTCGCACAGCTGCTTCAGAGGCGCCCGGAGCCCGTGTTAAAAAGATGAGTTTTTTATCCCTTTTTGAAAAGACTCAACGAGGAACATTGTCTTAAGGAGGTAACGCATTCCAGACATACGGAGCAGCGTGACGAAAACCGCGGCCAGCCAGGCGGGATCCGGCTACGGGAATGAAATTTGAGATCCTCAAATTGAAAATGTCTGCTATGTTGGTTAGACATAATCCTAATTCTTTGTAAGTCATTCAAAAGGTTAACGCACGTGCTACATCAATTTTTAAAAAAAAGTATATAGCCGCTGTGCAACCGGCGTTTTTGTACACCGACTCTTTTGAAAGAGTGACCAGCTCTGAAAATGAACTGCCTACTAGGCGGAGGATGCAATTTTGAGTGACAGGTCAAATTTTCTGGATCAATTTATTTTTCCAATTAATTTTATGATTTAAAATAAATATATAAACTATATTGATATTATGCATGGTGTAAAATTTTATACTTTATATAATAATAAACTTCTACGAAAGAGATCGTGTGATTGAATGACAAAACATATAACAAAATTCATGGTCCTATTTCAATTCAGGTGTGACTTTAATAGTTTGTGAAAAAATTCAAAACCGCGTAACATTTAATGGGACTTGGACAATTGGGAAATAATTAAGCTCTTATGGGAGAAGGTTGAAAATATTTTGGAAGAACGAAAATTAAATTTTATAAGACAACAACAGGCGAACACAACATAACAGTTATAAGCTTTCACCTCCAAGCCTGACATGTACGTGCGACTGCAACTCGTCGTCTGCATTTTGGGTTTTTTTGAAGTATTATTTGCTAACTGAAACCACTTTCTTCAAACATTTGATTAACCATATTAAAAAAATTTAAATTGTTCTACCTTCACCAATTTACATTTGATCGAGATAGATTTTAGTCATAGATTACAAAACTATGGATCATTTCGTTACTAATATTCATATATTTAGCACGAATTAATGATACCATATGAATGGCATTTATTATTAAATTATTTATATATAAAAAAAAATTTAAAAGTCGCCGCAAGTAGTTTTAAAACTTATAGATGAGTTCTTGATAGAAGTTACTAAGGTTTGATAACAACACCTCTAAAACAGATGATGACGACGTCTGGTGACATCTAGCTTGCAGATGGTGGGGCATCTTGGTGCTGAGATATTTTCTACTTGCAAACGAACATAAAAATAAAAAAATCACTATGGATATGTGAATTTTTAAATTTTTTCTAAAATTGGATGAAAAACATCAGACTTCGATTGATGAGAGTTATTGCTTTTTCTTCTGCAGAGAGTTTTTTTGAAGTTGAAACAAATCAAAAACATTAGATGAAAAAACGTGCCCAAAGTCACTTCAACATGAAATGACTAAGTTACTACATATCACAAAAAAACCAACCCGTTATTGAAAGACAAAAAAATTCTTTTAAAAGGCAACAACAAAAATGCATCTAAATTCAGATCAGACTCTTATGCAAACCATCTTCATCAACATGTTCGCTCAAATGTTAAATTAGTCCTGACGGCCCAAACAATAGACCGTCTAAAAATCATTCTCACAATAAGATAGACAAAAGACAATTAAAAATTCTACACAGGCATACAACATATACATGTATACTAGGGTGTCCCAAAAATATGAAGTTTTAAAATATTGATGTCTCACCCCATTAAATATGTCTGTATGGTAACAGTAATTTACCTGTTAAATTTTAGCCCATTTGAACAATGTTTAGAGGTCCCCCAAGGGGTCGAAAGTTTCCGATTTTGGTGTTTGATCGTTCGCTACCAACTTTTGATACAGTGTTATATGATATGATTATAAATGTTTTATGATTTGTTTATACAAATGAAACAAAATATATAATTGTGAAAAAATATATAAATCTGCAATGCCTTTTATTTTTTAATTTCAAAAATTAGGTCAAATATGATTGAAAAACAAGATTTTATTGAATTTCAGTTCGCTTGAATATTAATTAATGCAAATAATTCAAATTTTTGCTAGCAGTTCACGATTATATTCTGCAAAGTTTTTCCTATGCTGTTCAACTACTTGAAGAAAAATTGTTTCTGCTCTGCGTCTTTGGTGATTGTTTCATTGAAATGTACCAACGCTACTCCCCGTTCTGCAGAGTCATTGATGCAAACCAGATTCTTTATAAACACTCACTGCTGCAACTTGGAAAGAAGGAGTATCTGACCAGTTTTCAACAAGTACATCAAGAAAACTGGCATCAATATTAGATGTTTCAAAAAATGTTTTAGACGCACGCAAATTGTCAAAACTTTGTGGTAGTGTTTTCATCAGATGTGGGCCTCGATCTGCTTGTATTGTGCGGACAAGATCAGTCTTTTCTTTGTCATACAGGAGAGATGAAAAAAGAACAAGAGTTGCCAATTCTGGACTCATGTACCAAAAATGACGCAGCATCATTTTTAATCGTCAAACCAAGAACTGCATCGTCATAGTCATGCAAACGCTTTATCAACAAAATATCATTCCCAGGTGCATCAGCAGTGAGCCTGCATGAAAACCATGATTGAAGATAAACACAAATGATAAACCGATTCAAACGTTAAATATCTTGTAATTCTCGAGCTGTTTAAGTTAAAATGGTTTTATTTACGGTGAATAATAGTTCAATTTTTAATGCGTAGATGGCTTTTGCCATCCATCGTGCCCTGTGCCGTGCACCAGGTTTGCGAATGGCTACATCAATCTGCAGTTCAGCTATTTGTGCAGCAAGAAGTAGAAACTCTAAATAGTCATCTCGAGAATGTCTGACCTCAAGTTGACATTTGATGAATGCTTTAATTGCATCTGAAACAATTATCAAAGTAGTTGATCTGGCTTCTGGTGTGTGATTCATTTCTGTCCATTTTTTGAAGAATAAAATTTCTGGTCCAGTGGATGTTCCAAGACAAACACTATATACACCGACAAGCAGCACTTCAAACTTATGATGACGGCAAGCCATCCATACTAAATTACGTCCCATGGCTTCTTCTAGAAGAGTGCAAGCTCCATTGAGTTTTCCAGTATTGGAAGCTGTCGTGTCAAAGCACATGCCAATAACCATTGATTCACACTTTCAAGATTTTATCTGTTCATGAACTGCATCAGTAGCTGCTCGTCCTAATCCAGATGGAACTCCTTGGAACTCCAAGAAGTTTTGTAGTGCCATCAACAAGGGATGAGAGCAGGACAGGCAACCAATCTACGTTGACCACACCAGTAACATAGCGAGTTGACTGGTTAAAAATATACATTTTTTGCATTCTCTAATAAAGTATTTCACCCATTCTACAGGTAATTGTTAATAATATTTTAAACTATAATTAATGTCTGCAGTAAGATAATTAAACTAGTTTGCATTTCTAGCTTTATTTCACTCATTTTGTGCATATTGTTTAAGATTATTGATATGGATTTTGAATTAACTCGATAGTAAAATTTTAAAAGCCCTTGGGGGACCTCTCAAACTTGTTCAAATGAGCTGTAACTTCACCAATTTAATTATTGTACCCAAGAGACACTTTTCAGAGGGTGAGACATCAACTAATTAAAAAAAAAATTTCCGTGCATTTCTGGGACACCCTAATGTATACGCATATACAAAACACATGTATACGCAAAAACAACGCACGTACACAACACGCGCATACAGCAAACAACACAGCATGACTTTGAAACAAATTCCACAGGTTCTGCGGTAACATCATAATCATATTCCAAAACGTTAATTACGAAATGATGCAAATATCGAAGCCATAGTAATTGAAAACTGTAAACATAATAAAAAAGAACATCTAAAATCACAAAAAATAAGACAAACACGCGAATTTTTTGCAATAAGAAAACCAGCCACAGCAACAACAACACAAACAACAACAGCATAAACAACAACACAAACAACAACACAAACAACAACAACATAAAAGAGCAACAATGCAAAAAAATATATCTGATAACGAAATCTAGAAGCAAAGAAAAGTGTAATGCAGATTTTCTCTCAGTGTAACGTCAACAGAGTAACAAAGCATCCGAAAATATGAGCAACAAATATTTGAACAGAACACCGACACAACAAAACAACAACTCAACAACTCAACAACACAGCATTAACAACTGCAAACAAACACCATCAACAACATTCATTCACATCTGTCAACAAACATCAGCTGGCGTATTTCGAATGCAATCTGTCAACCGAAGACAATAATTCACCACAATAACAAACAATAATTCACCTAAAAAATAAAAATTCACCATAATTATGAATAATTCACCATCACAAATAATATTTTTCACCATAATCATGGATAATAATTCATGTTCATAAGTAACAATTCACCGTAATCACGAATAATTCATGTTCACAAATAATAATTCACCTCCATAATCACGATAATTTACCATCTCAAGAAATAATTCACAAATAATAATTCACCATCGCCTCTAACAATAATTCACCATCACCAACAACAATAACTCACCATTAGCACAAACAACAAAATTCTTATCGTCTCATGCAGCATTTATTTTCAGTCACGGCAGGGTACTAGCGTATTTTTCTCAATTAGCAAGGACAAACAAGTATGCAAGCACCTAATAAGCGATAATATACAAATATATTTATACATAAATATATGTGTGTGTGTGTGCATGTGTGTGTGTGTGTTTGTGTGTGTGTGTGTGGTGTGTGTATCATGTTTGTATGTATTATATGTTTCTATATATTATGTGATTCAATTGCTCTGTGGATGTAGATAAATGTGTTTTGTTTGAGCAAAAGATTCCTAATTGCGGTTCTTTTCACTTAGCGTTTGATTAAGCCTAATTAATTTAAAATAACTTTGGAAAGAATCTGAAACACACTATTAAGTAAGTATTTCACATCGTATCATGTTAAATCACCTAACATGAAATTACATCATATCACATCATATTTTATCACATCACATTCCACTGCACGTCTCATTATATCACGTAACATCACGTGACATCATATCACGTCACATCATATCACGTTAAATAACATCACGTCACGATAGAATCAGCCAGTCAGATGAACACACAGCATACAGGCCTTAACTCGAGATGATAATTCCAAACAAAACAAATGATGCAAACTCCTGGTGACTCCATGCTTCGACCGAATCATATTTCCAAGAAATATTTCCCCGTCGTCGTTCGGTTTTTTTTTTATTAGAAGTTACCTTACAATTATGTAGAAGTTTTTATCTTGGTCTTAGTACGTGTATATCAATTACAATTGTGCGATCAGGGTTTAATGTTCTGCAAACAAATATGACATCGTTTAAACCAAGGGGAGGCCTATTTACCAATATACAACACTTTCTTATGGGTTGAAGCAGGGATATGCAAAGAACCTCAATTTTTCAACTTTTAATTATTTTCGGTAATGTCGATTTTATTTTTTTAAATTTATATCAAATGAAAGTAATTAATTACCCCATCGAAAAACAATTTAAAAAAAAATTAATTTTAACATTTTAAATAAAAGCAATATTCCGAAATTAGTAAACATACGATCGTAACTTTTGACTCGAACGATAAAAAATCACCCTCCAAATTCCCTCCGAAAGTAAGCTTCTTGTTCGACTGTTAAAAGTGAGCGAAGGCCTTTATATTTATTCTAGTTATGTAGTTTAAACTTGCTGAGTATAACAACTTTTCTATAGAATCGGTTGGGAAGATAAATCATTTTCGCTTCACAATAACTCGCTAACTTTCATACTTTATTTTGGTTTTAAAACATGCGTTTTCGTGTATCAAAACTTACATGGGAAAGTGTTTAATATGGTTGCATGTATACGTACATTTTCTAGTACACAGACACATGAACACTTTAACAAAGGCAACGTACAAACTGAATGACATTCATTCATTCATTCATTCATTCATTCATTCATTCATTCATTCATTCATTCATTCATTCATTCATTCATTCATTCATTGCACTGTTGTACCTGCAACGCTCGACGTCCGTCACTACAAATTATGCGTATCACTCAAACGCTGTCATCAGACGCCCCACAAAATCCATTTGTGCGTGGTTTTCTGTAGCGAGAAACCTCGACATTTATCAGGCGACAAAAACGTCATTAGATTTTAAAATGATTACTGCTACCAGCCGGGACCTGATTTACATTGGTTCCTGGCTGTTCATTGTAGGCCCCCAATCATATTACAGTTGACGACCACCTATTTTTGTCAGGTTATCTAACAGTTTTAAACGTTTTAAACAGTAAGACCGTTTTTGGGCAAATTTGACTGCATGTTTAAAAGCCCAGCAGATAAATTCGTTCGTTTGCTGTTACGTCAAAAGATTAAAAAAGTCCTAGCAACTGATGAACGATTTTTTGAAATTGCGTGACTGGTCGAAAAGATTGGCGAATGAAATGCTGCATTTAAAAAAATGAACGAAACAAATACAATCTGTCAAAATAAAACTTTTCATCTTTGAAACAGTTTTTCAAACAAATTGCCAGTTCCTGTAAGATTAGGTTACATTTGTTCTCAGTCTCCATGCAATATACGTACAACTGTTTTACAATTCATTCGTTTTCTTTCAAGATTAAGCCAGGCTATCGTTTTGAAAAAAAAAGAGAATTCGCTATTAAGGATGTGACAGCTTTGTTCATTACTCCACAACAAATAATTTCAAAGAGCGTGATACTTAAACCAAACAGTTTAAAAAAACTAAACAGACATATATCTGCCAAGATTCAAGTTGATATTTTAACCTAAATTTATTTCCATCAACTATGGATGTTTTTCTTCTTACATTTCAACCAGACGATGTACAGATGTCACGTCACAAACCACGAAATTTTTAGATGTTCCTTTTTTGGTTTCTGTGTTGTACTTCAGATACTCTTGATTCTACATACATCGTGCATTCCATCAGTTTTTATGTTCTTCGGTTGTACTCTTTTTTCTTTCGTAACACACAAAATAAACAAATCACAAAATAAACAAATCACAAAATAAACAAAACTTTAAAAAACATTAGAAAAGCAAAATAAACAAAACACAAAATAAACAAAACATTAAAAAACAATTTGAAAAAATAAACAAAACATAAATAAAATAAGCAAAATGCAGAAATAACGCGAAGCGAAGTAATTAGTCATGTCAGGCCTACATGCATGCATACATGCATGCATACATACATACATACATGCATGCATGCATACATACTTACATGCATACTGCCCCATCTAATTAATCAGAGATGACCTCATTCAAGATGAATCGCCGGCTGATTACAAGGATGGATCAGTGGATGGACAGATAGAAGGATGAGTGAATGCATGAATCTGGATAATTAAATGGATGAACTGCCGAATGAATGAATGGGAAAATGGATTAACATATGGATGGATAGATGGATGATGAATGGATAGATGGACGGATAGATGGATGATGGATGGATAGATGGATGTATGATTTTAAATGGATGGATGATTGAATAGACAGAAGTAGCAGTAAATGGACAGAAAGATGGATAAACAAAGATAATGAATAAATGAAAGATCGAAAAATGTTTCTGATGCAGTCAAATAAATTCATAAACCGCTGAACGTGTGGACAAACACATGGATGAGTAGAAAGACGAATAAGAATTGGGTGGAAAAACAACGGATCATCGAAACAAATTGAATCAAGATGAACGAATGCTTCGGCTCGCCACCAAGTTTGGAACATCAATGACACACCTAATGTAGGTTCCAAAAATTTTTTAAATACGACTGCCTCAATTCATACACTCATTACTGAATTGCGTTAATAAAATATAAAAGTTAACGTTTTAAACGAACGAACACACTTTGTTTACACGATTCATTTTATTTATACTATGGTGAAAAAGTTGTTCGAAGTTGACTTAACAATGAACGATAAATTAAAACAATTAAATTAGAAGCCAAAATTTTGATCCCTGAAATGTCTCTGCAGTTTGTTTGACTTGATTCCAAGTTTCATGAAATGTTTGGACTGAAACTTGTGCACGTAGGCGATATCCTTTGCTCTGGCAAGGGCTGCTGAACCTTTTGCGTTGAGATGATGGTGTATACGTAGAGGATTACGATGATGAAAACGAATATAATCATAAATATGAGTATTGTATAATTTTTTGTGACCACAAGATGATATGAGCCAGTATAAGTATAATTACACACACACACACACACACACACACACACACACACACACACACACACACACGCATCGGCAAGCACACAATCCCATGCACACACAAACGCAGACACACCTGTTGTACCGGTCCATCCCAGCTTTTTGTAATGTAGTATGGCCTTTGCAATGGATGAGGAGTTGTTGTGCACGGCAATCTGTCTGCCAGGCCTCAACTTCTGTTTGTAGTATCTCAACAACTGCCTGTGACCTATGATAGCGCCTGGGACAAAAAATATTGAAAATATAAATAGATAAGTAGGATATAAAGGAAAAAATCTACAAGCTGGAACTATGCAGACTCTCACAAACTAACACAAACAAACACGCAAACAGACCAGATGGAAGTTTCAGTTGAAAGTTGTGGTCATTGAGGTCCAAGTCTGACGAACTGCCCACCATCTCATCACCATCATCATCATCATCTTTGTTATCTTCATCATCGCCACCTCTGAAGTCTGGGTAACTTTTTCTGGAATGAAGAGGTGATTACGACTGTGATTAATGCAATGTTAGCGTTATGTGCAACTATAAAAAAAAAATATGCCATCTATTTGAATGCGTTTCTAATAAATAAAAATAGTAGCTTAATCAATCTCTAAATCATTTAACGCCATGATTTAGATTTGATTACTACACAACTAGCAATGCCAACAGAATCTCCACCCAACTAACAATGAGTCACATTCCCACAAAATAACAAACACAAAAGATGTTTTGGGACTTCGTGTTACTGAAAACATGTGTCATCGACCAAAAGTCATTTGTACACTAATATTTGCATGTATAATAAATAAGCAGGTATGAAACATAAATATGCATAAACATCATTGTGACCACACACACACATACACACAAACAAACAAACACACTCGAATTCACGCACGCACACAAACAAACACGCTCAAATTCACACACACACACAAACAAACATACTCAAATTCACACACACACACAAACAAACACACTCAAACTCACACACACACGCGCGCACAAACTGACACACCAACAAACCTGTAATCGTAGAAATCAGCAAACTCAATGAGAGCCTCACTCTCGAAGTAGATCTTGTTATGCCCCTTGTCCATCATGTGCTGTTGGACGGCCCGCACGTCCCCAGATCGCCGCGTCTTGTTGCACCACAGACACACGTGGAAACTGCCTACTTTTTCACCTTTTAATGGATGGCGACGAAATACACGGAATTGTAAAAAAGAATTACCAGAGATTATGAATTTTAGTGGTAAACTAGGCTGGTAAATATGTCAACTGAATGTAGCATTAATTAATCAATTAATTAATTAATTTAATTAATTAATTAATAACTAATAATTCATCATCCATCTACAATAATTTTCAAACTTTAAAAACCATTCATCGCCTATTAATATGAATTAATGAATTAACAGTTTTATTAAAAGAAGCGCACCTAAATACGTCATGAGCCCACACAAATCAGAAACATATTCAATGTCTGGTATGAAGAAGCTGTGTTTGTGGTTCATGTGTTCAATGTTCTCATCCAAATCCTTGTTCACACATGAACAGAACAAACATGCGTTCACAGGGAGAGGCTCGCTGTTCCATTCTTCGTCAGACACTTCTTCCTCCTCTGTTTTGAGAATAACATATCATTATTTTCATGTCACTTTTAAATAAATACATTGAATAAAATAAAAAAAATAAAAAAGATAAATATTTAACACACCCATGTCTTCGTCCAAATCATCCTTGTCTGTTGAAGCTGAAAAGACTTTGGATTTCTCCACATTTATTTGTGTCATTTTTCCAACTTCAGTTAACTTGGAAGCCAACTTGCCAGCCTGAATATGCTTGTTGGATCTCTTGTGCTCCTCGAACGTCTTCGCAGTTGAGAACCTCTTCTTGCAAACTGCACAGTAACACGATGTTGGCTTTTCTTCTGTCGCCTGGCCAGAATGAATTCAGTTGTTGACTCTTCAATTGTGCTAGTGATATAATAATTTCAGCTGATGGCTACTTACTACTTACTAATTCAAGAAGAATATTTCTTGATATTAATTAATAAACATCTGCAACATTAAAAGCAATGTATTGATGATATAATAAAATTAGCAAGATGATACAAAAATATTTTTAAAAAAGAAGGAAACCTCATTTTTCTTGAGAAGCAGTCTTTCATTGAAGACATCGAGTGAGACAGCTGGCTGGCCGGCTACTTTCCTGTTCAAGTTGAACCGATGCCAGTCACTTTGATGGTGAGACTTCTGAGTCTCCATCATTTTCTGCACGTTTCCATTCTCGCATGGAAAAAAGACTCGACAAGTTAGGCAGGTCAATGGTGCTATGTAAGATTTGTCAGGGCTCTCACCGTTTTTACATTCCATTCTTTAATCTTCTCTTTTGTATGTAACCTGAGTAACCTGAGGTTATTAATAATAATTAAAAAATAATTAAAAATATCTTAATGAAATTACAATAAAATATAAAAAACAAATCGAAAGTACATGTTAGAAGATTCGTCATTGGCATTCCATTAGGATTAGCTATTACTTAATAATTAACCGACAAAAAAAAATATCAAATTACATTTTAGATTACACATTACACACACATACACAAAAGAGAGAGAGAGAGAGAAAGAGAGAGAGAGAGAGAGAGAGAGAGAGAGAGAGAGAGAGAGAGAGAGATTATGAATTAGACAAATTTTGCAGATTATGCTGCATTAGGATTAGTAGAAGATTAGATTCATCAGCCTAGGCAAGGGTTCGTTAGGGTCCGTTAGATTGTTAAGATTTAAGACTTATGATTGTATTTGTTAACCTAAAATTAAGAAGCAGTGTAATAATCTGTGACATTGTAAAAATGAGGACAACATGAAAAAGTTCACTATTTGGTTCGTTTTTCAGAAAATCAAACCAAACAGTGAACACGCGGTTAGAAAAATAGAAAATTTTTAAAATTTTTACAAAAATTGTCATAACACTATTAATTTGTTTGATAAACTGAAATGAATGTAATTTAATCAAACCTAAAAAAAAACACAAAAACTCGTAAGAACGTTTAAAAAGTTATCTCGAAGTTGAACAAGATACGACGGCAAACGTTGGCACAAAAATTGCGCAATGAAAACATCAACCTAGAACGTTAGTACAGTTACCGAATTATAATATTTGTAAAGAAATGGAAGGCTGACCTCCAGAGATAGAGGCAAGTCAGTAGTACTTGCTTTATTATATTATATATATATAAAGTAAGTATTATATATATATAAAGTAAGTAAAAGTACATTTGATTTTATTAGTTAAAAAGAATAGTAAATTTTAGATGAAACGGTTTTTATCATATTCTGGTTAATAAAGTGGTAAAATGTAAGCAAAATAAATCATCCTAGCTAGGATGAATTTTTATATAGGACGTCTCTTATAATTTGAAAAAATGGTTAGATGTCTATTTTATTATATCAAAGATCAAGGAACTCAACAACACACAAACAAAGTATACGAATAATTGTTGAGTAAAATTTGAATTCAAATGATTTAAAACCATAATTTAGTCAATTTATTGTTATTTGCTATTTTTAAACCAATTCTACCTATATAGCTGATTTTAGATTTTATATCAAATTTTCACATTACTTTGGCGATTTTGCTGATTTAAAGAACTGACAACAAATGTAATGAAATTAATAATAATAAGAGTTAAAACAAAAATATTAGTAACAACAATGCAATAATAATAATACATATTCAACGAGTTCGTACGGGCTACTTGCACCTAGTTACATTACATATATTTAACCGAATTATTATTATTATTATTGTTGTTGTTGTTGTTGTTGTTTTGGATATATATATAGCGTAAATTCAAAAATAAATAAATTTTATCAAAAGCGCCGAAATGCATGCAATGCAAACGCATTAGTGCATACTTGCACGCATACATGGACACATACTTTCACACATACACACCTAGTGCAAAAAGAACATTTTAGTAACAGCAGTATTTGATTTTCTTTTGTTATGAATCTCATCTCCACATTGAAATAAATGAAAATTATGAACTATCAAAAAAAAGTATTATTAATAAAAAATATTTACGGAACTCACAAAAAATTATTTACATCCAAGAAAAAATTTACGTACTAAAAACTATTTACATTCAAAAAATATTAACACTCAGAAAAAACATTAGCGGACAAAAAATATTTACACAATCCCATTCAAAAATCTATTAACATAAAAAAAATACTAACATACAAAAACTATTTTCATACAAATGAAACTATTTACATTGGAAAAAAATATTTACATACAAAAATACTACTTAACATGCAAAAGACTATTGACATACATAGCATACAGAAATAACTATTTCCATACAATAAAAACTATGTACATAAAAGAAACTAATTACATACATAAAAAAATTACAAAAAGCTGTTTACACAACCCAAAGTTGCAGTTGAAAGACGAAATCGTAAACTTTTTGTGAAGAGCACTGTTGTCTGGAAGAAACAGTTGGTCGATGGTCACATTGCACCTCATGATGTTGAGGAACTGCTCGATGACTTGAAGACTGTATAATTATTTGGTGTTCTGTCGGCTCATTGAATGGGCATAATAAGTGTGTTATTTTTTCAAATAATTAACTTCCTCCTTCGTAGTCTTGATTATGATGTCGATGGTGAGGAGGAATGGAGATCGGCAGAGTTGGCATGTTGCCCTCTCCCCTCGTCGATGCACGCTCTGCTGTAGCCGTGCGAACAACCGACCATGTTTCCAAGCAGATACTGCAGGTTTCTTCCTGTGGTTCACCTAGGTTACTGTTGAAAATTTAGCTGACTCAATTTTATAAAGAGACAGTTTGTACGTACTTGATGATTCGTTCTACTTTTTTACAATTTTCGAAGATGCAGCTTTTTGCTGAGCACATGTGTCTATTCATTTTTGTAGAATTAAGGAAAACCTGTAAATTAATGTTCAGCAAAGTTTTAGCAAATTCAATTTGTCTTAATGTTATTGCTTAACTTGATGGGGAAACAATGTTGCTTTTTACTAGGTTCAACTTAATGGACTTCAAATCAATCTTCGTTTTGCGTCCAGAGACCCGGTTTTCCGAGGTAGGACGTTGTTTTCTTTGCCATCAACATTTGGCGCCAAATTAGACGATCAGTTGTATCCATTTCATTTAAATTTAGAGCTTTCATGTCTTGCTCGATTGTTTGCAATCAGGACTTCTTTGGACGGCTTTTAGGACGTGTGCCAGGTACTTCAACATCTGCAAGAGAAGTTATGGCACTGTTTCTACTTCGTTTGACATGACTAAACCACCGCAGACGGTGTTGCCGGCATTCGTCCTTTATATCATCTAAACCAGCACGACGCAGGATTTTGGTGGATTTGATGTGGTCCTTCAGACTAATTCGTTGCATCCATCGGAGCATTTTCATATCGGTTCGTTGAAGTTGTTGTTCCAGTTTGGTTGTCATTGGCCATGTTTCTGCATTATATAACAACACCGGACGTATCACAGATTTATAAAGTCTTGATCGTAATAGTAGTGGGATGTCACGCCGCATCAATATAGAGGCAAGGAGATGCCATTTATTCCAGGCTGCACGTATGCGTGCTCAAACGGCAACTTCAGGTGTTCCAGTACAATCCAGAACATTCCCTAGATATTGAAACGATTTGCTTAATGGACTTATTTTTAGGAAATTATTTTTGGCCACCATGGAATGTCATATATCATTTTACAATTTAATTATTTATCTATGTAAACACATTGGAATGAGTATCGTGGTGGTTTGTTTTATCGGCTTTTAAGCTTTTTCAAAAAATGTTGTCAAAGCGGGAAATTCGCACGATTTTGCTTCATGAGTTCAAACTCGGCTTTAATGACTCTAAATGTTATTCAAGCATGGAGAGATGCAAGTACTTCTAAAAAAATATTTAAAGGTAGTTTAACATTTTCAGTTCTGGTGATTTTAGCCTTGAAATGATGAGGGTCGATGGAGACCATATAAAATAAACTTTATATTATAAAGTTGATAACGACGAATTGTTTTTAAACGTTTTTTTCTATGTGAATAAGCTTGTGTATGTAAATATTTTTATATGTAATTAGTTTCTTTGTAAGTTGAAGAATATTTTTATATATGTAAAGAGTTTTTTGTAAATCATGTAAATATTTTTCCATTAATAATTTTTCATTTGGAAATTTCAGTTCATAGTTTCCATTTATTTCCATGTGATGATGAAATTCATTGTTAAATAAAAACCAACAAACTTGTTATTGAATTGTTCATGTTTCACTTACTCTCAGTTTTGTTTCGATACTCGTTCGATTGTTTCGTTTCACTGTTTTATACGCTTTCAATTGAAATTGTTTATTCTAGATTATAAAGAGTTTAAGAGTATTCATCGGTTACAATTGTCATGTTAGTAAATCAATTGTTAAATTATAAAGCTAAAAAAAAATCAAGGTTATAAACGAAATGCAACTACGTACTCAAAAACATAAGTACTTTTTAGTTCTCAAATTGCGTTATCAGTGAGCAAGTAGTGAACGTTTTTTTTTTATGTAAAAATGGTCTTCACAACATGCAGAACATTCTGTGAAATTTAGTATAGTAATTGATCAGAAGAACATGTCGCATATTGTTGCTGATGATGAAGTACTTGTTGTTTTCGTAGGATTTCCTCTTTTAATTCTTTGAAGTATTCTGTGTGTGTCATATTTTCTGGTATGAAAACTTTTACAACGCCTTCATCCGCTATTATTGCATTTTTTGTCGGTTTGTACTTGATTTTTAAGCGAGATTTTGTTCCTGTCGTTGTTGCCGTTGTTGATGCTAACGCTGATGTTGAGGTTGTTGTTGTTGTTGTTGTGGACGTTAACTCTAATGTTGTAGTTGTTGCTATAATTGTTGTCTGGGCGTCAGTACATACAGGACTGTCATAAGTAAAACTTTTTGTTTTAATACTAAAGTTGTCGATATAATTAGTACTAATATTTGAAATTTCTGCCACAGTAGCATTGAACACAGTAGCATCGAACACTGTGTCAGTGTTTGTAGTTGGGTCAATAATTGGTTGCAGATGGGTGATATCTTCTTTTAGTTTGACAGGTGTAGAAGTTAAACGCAGGTTGCAAAAATTTTCTCCTTTGTTCACATGAAGTGTGTTAACTAAAGTATTGTCCTGACTCCCATAAGTTGCGCCTGAAATATCTTGCATGTTCATTTGCCTGTTCTCAAATGTGCCTACATTGAGTGTGTTCTTTAGTGGAGTGTCTTGGTCGAAATAAGCTAGTCTATTTATTTGCTTGTGTTCAACTGTTTTTACATCGGTGATGTTATTCAGTGTGTTGTTCTTTTCTACATCAAGTGTGTAATTCACTGAAGTGTCATGTTCCACTCGAGCTTGTTCACTCATTGGAAGAACTTGTTCTGGATTAGTGTCGTTGCTGTTATTTCCGTCGTCGGCGTTCTTTTCCTCAATCATTTTAGTAATTTTTTTTGGTCGACCAGGTCTTCTTTTTTGTTCCACCTCGATTATACAATGGCTTTGAAAGCTTAAGACATCATCGTCATAATCATTTTTGTCTTTATTCAAACTGTTTGTTTCATGTTTATTGCTTTTGCCTTTATAATTTCGATGTTTACATTGATATTTGTTTGCATGTTTGTTAGTTCTAGAATTTATATTGCTGTGGTGGTGATTCTCTTCAACACATTTTTTCACTTGTTCATATTTCATCTCATCTGTGGGCTTGTTTGCTGAAATGATGACATCATCATTATCTTTATATTTGCTTATAACATTGTTATTCCTGCGCTTGTATTTACTGCAGTTATTTAGATTAGTGTTATTGTTGTTGCTGATATAGTTGCTGTTGTCGTCGTCATCGTGTTCATCGTCGTCTCGTTTCCTTTTCCTGCCAACCTTACTTGCTTTCTTAGATTTTAATAAAAAAAATAAATTAAAACCTTTATACCAACAATATTTTAAACCGTTTGTACGAAAATCATTATTATAGTAAAATTTAAATTATGTTAAATATTAAATTTTATATTTTGAGTGAAAAATTATTTCAAAAATTTTATCCTACCATACGTGATGATTTGACGGTCAATTTGTTTTGTGCATTTTTAGTGTTTCTGTTGCGTTTGTTGATAACGATGTTATTGTTGTTGGTAGTAACAGAGCTTGCAGCAGTTGATGTTGCAGTTACATCCCAGGTTTTGTGATAGTTGTTAACATCAAAAACATCGGTGAAGCTAATGTAGCTGTGCTCGTTGTCGTCGTCGTCGTCGTCATTACAACCCTGTTTAATTATTTAACGTTTATCTCGTTAGAATTTTATTTTTTAATAAATTTTTATTAATATGATAAATTAATTGTAAAATTAAACAACAGAAATGGACATAGAAGAGACCAACCGTAGCAGCTTGAAGCAACTTTTCGTAGAAGTTGAGACTTGGATTTTCAAAGGTGATCCCTTCGCATCGTTCATATTCCACCCACTCCGTTACGCCCCAAAACATGGTATACACGAATCTTACCACTTTTGGATGGCCTTCATTCTTCAAATGGATGTCGATCGGAAGGGTGAACCCGATGTTACCTGACTCCACCACTTTGTACGGTTCCTTGTAGCAAACTGAAATATTAATAACTTAGTGAAATAATAATTTAAATAAAACCGCTAAAATTATTATTAATCTGATGAGCCAATCCAACCTCTAATGGCGTTATTGTACGATGGACTCAAATGGAATTCCACTTTTTCGATGACAGCCTCCAAATTCCATGTCTTCCTAAATTTTTCCTGCCGGTTTGCACAATTTTTACCGTTGCTCGTGATATTTATCGGTTCCAGAAAAATTACCCAGTCGTGCGTAAAGCCCTCTGGTGTCGGTTTCTCCCTCAAAGCCGCTTTGTGGCCAATCTTCACTTTGAAATCATATTTCTGAAAAATTATATAATTGAATATTAACTAAATCAAAAAAGTCTTTCTTCCTATGAAACAAAGAAATTATTTTAAAAATATAATTAATATAATTCATTTAATTGAATGACAGAAATTTATTAGAAAATAAATAAAATCTAAAATAAAATAATATTATCTAACCACTTTGTTTGGAAGACCTGAATGTTCACATCTTACAATTCTTCTGTTTGTCTCCATTATCAATATATGAATAACGTACAATTTTGTAATGTGAAATATGTGAATGTGGAAGTCAAAGGATTGTTTCGGTATTTTTTACTAAGATATTTACATTTTTAATGATCTCTTCCGTCAGTCTATTTATAGGCGTGAGAGAAGAAAATTAAGCTTGATAAGACCTCAAAGTATAAGTAAAAATTTCAAACCATTTTAATTATTTTATTGCAAGCGAACAAATAAAACGATCATTTTACAAGTTTACCATCTTTGTTTCGTTTCGTTTAACTGTGTTGAACTTTTGCGATAAAGTTTATTTAACTTCATTAGTATGCTTTCTTCATTTGTTACTTTTATAAAATTATTTTATGATAAATCGCAACTTAAAATGATTACAAACTCAGAATGATAATTTTAAAATACATCTTCCCTATATTTTTAGAAGTTGTATAAAAACGATTTTACAATGTGTAAATGTTTATTAAAATAAGTAATTCTGTAAATAAAATAAAAAAAATATATAAAATAAGTAAATAAATAATAAAATTATAATATTTCATTTTTAAGGCATAATTATGAATGTCTTCAATTTTTGCATTCATTTTGCTGGAATGCAGTTTGTTTCAACAAAATTTGAGGCTCCAGAGCACGTACATCTTGTGAAGGAAGGAGATGAGTTTAAGTTACCACCTGATGACAATGACGAATGATATTCTTGGCAAATAGTACCATTTTAGAATATCTGGTCCTACGAAGATGTTAATAACATTAGTATTACTATGAAATAGAAACAGACCGATTGTTAAGTTTCGGCCGAATATTGTTTCGGCCAAATATAATGTTGTTTCGGCCGGAGTCACGGTTTCGGCCAAAAAAAATCGGCCACACTGAATCTTAATTTTATAAATTTTCAAACAGTAACGTTCAACAAATTTTTCAATCTCAATCTGATACAAATTCGGTTTGCTAGTAATCAAAAACTATATATCACCTGTATAGGCATGTTTTGGAAAATTTAATCTATCACTTTGTATGTGTGTAGCAGAGGTGAGCATAGGAACGGGAATTGCGGGAACCCCATGGTTCCCATGGGATTCCCATGGGCATTAGTAAAACCAAATTTTCGGGTATGGCAATTTTAAGAAATAGGGCATGATGGACGGGAATTGGGAGAAATGGGAAAAACAACATGTACATGACCAAATTTGAAAAATGAATTCTGATTAAAATGTCAGCTATCTATTGCAACTCAACACGTGTGCTTGTGCGTTAACAAAGAAGATAACCATGTGCAAGCAATGGAACCATAATGAAATTTTATATATATTTATATTTAAATATTAATTATAATATCTGTGTGTGTATTGATATATATACAAGTACACGTGTGATCGAAACATACACATTCACATACGTACACACGCGTGCGTTAAAAAAGATAACCAAGTGCAAGCAATAGAGCTACGAGGAAATTTTATATAAAATATATAAGCTAACGTTGAAAATTCGATTTTCAATCAATCAATCAATTAGTTTATAAAGCGCTATTTCCACGATGTTCAAGATCCGCTCTGAACTTATGATGGAAGTGATGGAAAAGTAGTCAGAAAAGGATGTAGAGAGTTCCAGAGAAAAGGGCCAGAAAAAGCAAATGAAGATTGTTTGAGTGTTTAATAGGAGTTAAGAAGAAGTGAGAACAAGACGATCGTAAACCAGGGCGTTTAGGTTCAATTAATATATCTGATAAGCATAGGCGGCGACTTGTATGGGCTTTCGGGCTCGAGCCCCCCCAATATTTAACCCTTCGGGCTCAAGCCTATCTTGAGCCCCCCCAATATTTAAAAATAAATATTTTGAATTTATATTCAGTTATTATATTTATATTCAATTTTTATTTTCTTATAACTATATTGGCTGGATATTAGCTTATTTATGTATAATTAATCATCAAAAACGTCTGAGAAACCTGATCTAATTTCAACTATGTTTGCATAGTAAAAAATATTTGTTACATGTCAATTACAATTAACGTTTTGAGAAATGCAGATTTATTTTAAAAATAATAATGATCTAATATTCATTATTTTTGATCATTTCCTTTTCAAAAATTGAACACATTTTGTAGTTCAGTAAGTAGATTTAAAAGACACAACTAAATAAGCTAACCCACTTTTCTACGCTATATAAATATTTTTCTATGATTCTAAACAAATATTATTTGAAAAATCATTGCATTTATGTGCTTTAAATA